GTTGCTTTGATTTCTGATCCGAGTGGGATTTTCAGCCAAGCGATTTCTAGTTCCGGTGGTGACAATGCCCAAAAAGAAGTGGAGACGGTCTTCAATCGAGCATTGAAGAAGCTTCCATCTCAATCCCCTGCACCGGATGAAGTGCCGGCGAGTACAACTCTGATTAAGGTAATTCGAAGGGCACAAGCGGCACAAAAATCGCGAGGGGACACGCATTTAGCTGTCGATCAATTGGTTCTTGGCCTTCTTGATGATTCTCAGATTGGGGATTTGCTCAAAGAAGCCGGTGTCACCACGGCGAAAGTTAAATCCGAGGTCGAGAAACTACGTGGAAAAGAAGGGAAGAAAGTGGAGAGTGCATCTGGAGATACAACATTCCAGGCACTCAAAACATATGGGCGAGACCTGGTAGAACAAGCGGGGAAACTCGACCCAGTTATTGGTAGGGATGAGGAAATTCGTAGGGTGGTGAGAATCTTATCGAGAAGGACTAAGAACAACCCTGTTCTTATTGGGGAGCCTGGTGTTGGAAAAACTGCAGTGGTTGAAGGATTAGCACAAAGAATTGTGAGAGGGGATGTTCCAAGTAATCTTATTGATGTGAGGCTCATAGCTTTGGATATGGGTGCTCTGGTTGCGGGAGCTAAGTACAGGGGAGAGTTTGAAGAGAGATTGAAGGCTGTATTGAAGGAAGTTGAAGATGCAGAGGGGAAGGTTATACTGTTTATCGATGAGATTCATCTTGTTCTTGGTGCTGGAAGAACGGAGGGGTCAATGGACGCCGCTAACCTTTTCAAGCCTATGCTGGCTAGAGGGCAGCTACGTTGTATTGGGGCAACTACTCTTGAAGAGTACAGGAAGTACGTGGAGAAGGATGCGGCATTTGAAAGAAGGTTCCAGCAGGTTTATGTGGCTGAACCAAGTGTGCCTGATACTATCAGCATCCTTCGAGGACTCAAAGAGAGATATGAAGGTCATCATGGTGTTAGGATACAAGATCGAGCTCTTGTCGTTGCAGCCCAGCTTTCGAGTCGATATATCACTGGTATGTATCCGTTTCTTATTTCCAGGGCTATTGATAAGGATGATGAAGATATTGATATTGATTTGGTTTACATTGTGCAGGGCGACACCTTCCTGATAAGGCCATTGATTTAGTTGATGAAGCTTGTGCTAATGTGAGGGTCCAGCTTGATAGCCAGCCTGAAGAAATTGACAACTTGGAGAGGAGGCGAATGCAGCTTGAAGTTGAACTCCATGCGCTTGAAAAGGAGAAGGATAAAGCTAGTAAAGCTCGTCTGGTTGAAGTGGGTATTGTTCCTACAGATTGTCCTTTCATTATTTGTCATTGTTGGTTAGTTGCTGACATTTTATTGACTTCGCTGTAGGTGAGGAGAGAGCTGGACGATTTGAGGGATAAGCTTCAGCCATTGCTGATGAAATATCGAAAGGAGAAGGAAAGGGTAGATGAGATTAGAAGACTGAAGCAGAGGAGGGAGGAACTACAGATAGCTTTGCAAGAGGCTGAAAGAAGATATGATTTAGCAAGAGCTGCTGACTTGCGATATGGAGCAATCCAGGAAGTAGAATCTGCTATAGCACGGATTGAAGGGAACACTGATGAGAACCTAATGTTAACCGAAACCGTCGGACCGGAACAAGTAGCAGAAGTTGTGAGCCGGTGGACTGGAATTCCTGTCACGAGGCTCGGCCAGAATGAGAAAGAGAGGCTGGTTGGGCTTGCTGAGAGATTGCACAAGAGAGTTGTGGGGCAGAATCAAGCAGTTGATGCTGTTGCTGAGGCTGTTTTAAGGTCAAGAGCTGGATTGGGAAGGCCACAGCAGCCAACTGGTTCCTTCTTGTTTCTGGGTCCTACTGGTGTCGGCAAAACTGAGCTTGCCAAGGCGCTTGCTGAGCAACTTTTTGATGATGAAAACCTCCTGGTGAGAATTGACATGTCTGAATATATGGAGCAACACTCGGTTGCGCGCCTCATCGGCGCTCCTCCTGGGTAAGTACCTTTCACCATATAGGTTAAGTTGTTGGTCATTCTTTGCTTTAGAGAACAAAATCTCATAGGCACTTGCGATTTTTCAGGTATGTTGGCCATGAAGAAGGAGGGCAACTCACAGAGGCTGTAAGGCGGAGGCCTTACAGTGTTGTGCTGTTTGATGAAGTGGAGAAAGCTCACATCTCTGTGTTCAACACCCTTCTCCAAGTTCTAGACGATGGGAGATTGACTGATGGTCAAGGCCGCACTGTGGATTTTAGAAACACAGTCATTATCATGACCTCTAACCTTGGAGCTGAACATCTCCTTTCTGGGCTGATGGGAAAATGCACAATGCAAGTTGCTCGTGATCGAGTTATGCAAGAGGTACCAAAAACAGAACAAGTTTTGTGCTCTTTATTCACAAATCTTCGTCTGTTCATTACAATGTAACGAACAATTGCTGGTCTTTCAGGTGCGGAAACACTTCAGGCCAGAGCTGCTTAATCGATTGGATGAAATTGTTGTATTTGACCCTCTCTCGCACGACCAGCTGAGGAAAGTTGCCCGACTGCAGATGAAAGACGTCGCAGCCCGCCTGGCCGAGAGAGGCGTTGCCTTGGCTGTGACGGATGCCGCCCTCGACCATGTCTTGGCAGAGAGCTACGATCCGGTAAGTATATTGATATGAAGAAGATGAAAGAACAAACATGTAGCTTGAATTTGGGTGAACAAAAATGGTAACATGGTTGGTTGTGGGGATTGTTTCAGGTATATGGTGCTAGACCCATAAGAAGATGGCTGGAGAGGAGAGTGGTGACAGAGCTATCGAGAATGTTGATCAAAGAAGAAATCGATGAGAATTCGACTGTGTTCATCGATGCAGGGGGCGTTGGGGAAAGCTTGAGGTACAGAGTGGAGAAGAACGGGGGATTGGTTGATGCTCAAACTGGGAATAAGTCTGATGTGTTGATTCAACTCAAGAATGGCACAAGAAGCGGTGCTGCTGCTCAGACTGTGAAGAAGATGAAGATTGAGGAAATTGATGAAGATGAGATGGAAGAGTAAAAGAGATGAGTAGAAGTGATGGGATCTGTGTGAAAAGAGTGTATTTGAATCTCTTCTTCTTCTTGTGTTTTGATGTATTTCCCTGGAAAGTTGTTTAAGTAAATAGAAAAATTAAAGAATTTACGGACCAAATGAATACATAAATGTTACATTTTGGCCTCTTTGAAGCCGTTCTTGGCCTTATTGGAAGCATAAGTATTAGTTTGGTCGATTTAGGTCAACTATGATCGCTTTACATGTATGTTGTTATATTTATGTGATATGCAATATTATCAACTATGTTATGATATTACCAACTATATTATGATATGGTTATGTTGTGATGCATGAATCCTCATGTGCCACACTATGTAAATTACATAATACATCTGATCTATACTTACATAATACATCTGATCTATACTTATGAGAAGGAGACATAGAAGTTAGAAAGCCAGGTATGTTAAATATGAAAGATATGACAAGTAAAACATATATATTCTCGTAGAAACACGGAAAAGAATAGATAAATGACTTGTAGTATAAGTATATTCTTCTTTCTATCCGTGGCTCCAACAACGTGGGCATACGCTAGCGAAAAACCATGCCTATGGGCACGTATGTGAGCCCTTGGTGGATCCATTTGTGTATGTGTGAGCTGTGTGTAGAGAAGGTCAGGTCTAGAGGTAATATACGAGCCCTTCTAGTAAATCCATGTGCCCGTGCGTGGGTTGTAAATAGAGAAGTATTATACAGTCAACTCCCACTCATGAAATATTTTAAATACTGAAGTCACTTGTTATTTTTTTAGGTAAGTTAAGATAGCTATGAATGAATGACAATGTTATGGTACATGCCAGGGAAATAAAGTCATGATAGTTAGCATTTTCATTCAGTTGTATCCCTTACCTTAGATATTAGATAAGGGCGTATGCATTTTTTTTAAAATTGTTGTTATTTCAATTTCACTCTTTAATTCAGGTTTACTTTTATTTTAAATGAGTTTTGAGAACGTTGAATTCTATGACAATTTTTTAGTAAACCATTTTTAAAGATTTTCACCCAACTCCGATTGTGAAATATTCTTTTGAACGTAAAAAAATTCTTCATCGACATTAACTCGTGAGAAATATCTATCCAGGCCAAATCTTCAAGACGGTGCCGAAAAAGTTATTAGTGAGTACAACGTGAAAAATGTAGGTACATTTTACTTTTCACCTTCTCCTTCATATATATTTCCTTTTATCAATAATCTTTCTACTTATTAAACCTTATTCTTATTCGGGTACAAACTTTGAGTTTGTGAGAGTGGTGAAAGCTAACCGCCAAGTTGTGTCGGGTTTCTTGTATTACATCACTTTTGATGTCAAACAAACAAATTGGAATAGAGTTTATGATTATTATTAAAATAAATAAATATATATATAGTTCTTATCCTAATAAGTTTGTTTCAATATTTTTCTTTTTCCTTTCTTCTTCTTCCATGTGTGTTCATCTTGTTTGATGGGTAAGAAACAATAGCAAAGTTCAATATATATAGTTCTTATCTAGATGTAAGTCTTTGTGTTGCCTTTTGTTTGGATTCCTGTGATGCCTCTACAAATTTTTGCGTATTGTTGCTTATTCCCCAATTATTCTTGGTTTCTCATAATGGATTCACTTTGGGGCGTGTTCAACTTAATGCCTTTATGGCTGCAGCATGAGCCTAGAAGGCCATTGATAATATGGAAATATTAAGATATGATATATATGCGACATGAATGACATGATTAACATGCAAAATACGATAAATGATATGATAAACGATATAGAAATGATAACATGAATGACATGTTTTAAAAAATTTATTTAAATCTAAATTTTAAAGATTTAAAGGATATTTTTAAAATGTTATAAGAATATATTTGAAAGATATTTTTATTAATTTCATCTAAAAATAATCTCTCCAAATAAACATTATTATTTATTATTTATTATTTATTATCAGCCAAATAAACAACCAACACTCTCTCCACAGATCAAAATCACAGCTCGCTTTACAACACACCAACATCCTCCAATATCCCAAATGATCGTCGCTGCTTCTTCCATCTCTCCTCTTCTTTACTCTTACTCCTTCTACCTACCGCTCTTCTTTCATCATCACTCCTCTGTTTCAGATTCACACCCCTATCATGGCCAAGCTCGTCGTCCATGTCCTCGACGCCGCCGGCCTCCTGTCCAAACACCCCCACTCTGCTAACCCCTTTGTTGAGGTCCATTTTGACCACCAAAAACAGAGGACTCTCACCAAACACACACATCTCGATCCTTACTGGAATGAGGAGCTTCTCTTCAACATCTCCGATCCTAAAGCTTTTCCCGACAAGACCATCGATGTGGTGGTTTATAGCGAGAGGAAGTCAGGCCATTGCCCGGATTTTCTCGGCCGTGTCAGACTCTCGGGCATGTCGGTGCCCCTTTCTGAACAGGATGCTAATATTCAGAGATGCCCACTTGACAGACGTGGCCTCTTCTCTAATGTCAAAGGCGATATTGGGATTCGAATGTATGTGATTCACGACCATGAATCGACTAACAAGGACACGGGCGTCAAGACCTTCCACTCCATAGGAGCAAAGCGGCCACCGCCAGTGGGGACACGGATGGACTTTGCTCGAACAGGTCTATCGGTGATGACAGTAAAGCATTTGCCAATTCAAATGCAGAGTCCAGAGTTCGCATTGGTGGAGACCAGCCCGCCATTACCAGCAAGGTTGCAGTCCGGTTACAGAGGAAAAGACAAGATCATCAGCACCTATGACATGGTGGAGCAGATGCATTTTTTGTATGTAAACGTGGTTAAAGCTCAAGCTCTCCCTGCCATGGATATTTCAGGGAGATTAGACCCTTATGTGGAAGTGAAAGTAGGGAGCTACAAAGGAGTTACAAAGTACTTGGAGAAGAACCAAAACCCAATATGGAAACAGAGTTTTGCCTTCCCAAAAGAGAGGTTGCAAGCAAACTTACTGGAAGTGACTGTGAAAGACAAGGATTTGGTGAAGGATGATTTTGTTGGGAAAGTTGTCTTTCATATCCCTGAGGTTCCATTGAGAGTTCCTCCAGATAGTCCACTGGCTCCTCAATGGTACAAATTAGTGGACAAGAAAGGAATCAAAGCCGAGTGGGAGGTGATGCTTGCTGTTTGGATGGGTACTCAGGCTGATGAGTCTTTCCCGGATGCTTGGCATTCGGATGCTCACAGCATCAGCCATGACAACCTTGCAAACACAAGATCAAAGGTCTATTTCTCTCCTAAACTCTATTATCTGAGAGCCCATGTGATTGAAGCTCAAGACATCCCATCAGATAAATCCAAACCTCCTCCAGACGCATTTGTAAGAATACAATTCTGCAATCAAGGGAAAGTAACCAGATCTTCACAGATGCGAGTGATCAACCCAATTTGGAACGAGGAGCTGATGTTTGTAGCATCCGACCCATTTGAAGATTTCATCATCATTACTGTTGAAGACAGAGGAACAGGGGAGATTCTAGGAAGAGTAATCATCCCATCAAGAGAAATTCCACAAAGAATCGAGTCCACAAAACTCCCAGACGCCCGCTGGTACAATCTCCACCACCCATCCATTGCTCAAACAGAGGGAACAGAGAAAAAAAAGGAGAAATTCTCCAGTAAGATCCATGTCCGTCTCTGGATCGACTCAGGGTACCATGTTCTAGACGAACCAACCCATTTCAGCAGTGATCTTCAACCATCCTCCAAAATTCTCAGAAGGAACAGCATCGGAGTACTCGACCTAGGGATTTTAAGCGCTCGAAATTTGCTTCCAATGAAGAACAAAGAAGGAAGAACCACAGACGCTTACTGCGTCGCCAAATACGGCAACAAATGGGTTCGAACAAGAACTCTCTTAGACACCCTCGCCCCGCGCTGGAACGAGCAGTACACATGGGAAGTTTACGATCCTTGCACTGTAATAACAATTGGGGTTTTTGACAACGCTCACACAAATGGAAGCAAAGAAGACGCAAAAGACCAGAGAATTGGAAAAATAAGGATTCGATTATCCACATTAGAGACGGACAAAATCTATACGCATTATTACCCCTTGTTGGTTCTTCATCCATCTGGCCTGAAAAAGCATGGCGAGCTTCAATTGGCTCTGAGATTCACCTGCACGGCTTGGGCCAACATGCTGACACTGTACGGGAAGCCATTGCTGCCCAAAATGCACTATCTGCAACCAATCCCAGTCCGACACATTCAACTGCTCCGCTTCCAAGCGATGAACATAGTGGCTGCAAGGTTGTCTCGAGCAGAGCCGCCGCTTCCGCGGGAGGCAGTGGAGTATATGCTGCTCGACGTTGATTACCACGTGTTTAGTCTCAGAAGAAGCAAAACGAATTTCAATCGCGTAATGTCGCTTCTCTCAGGAGCCACAGCGATTTACCGATGGTTCAACGGTGTGTGCATTTGGAGAAACCCTAACACGACCTGCCTCGTCCATGTCCTGTTCTTGATTCTCGTCTGTTATCCCGAATTGATTCTTCCCACCATCTTCCTCTACCTATTCGTGATCGGAATTTGGAATTACCGGTTCCGACCGAGGTATCCACCGCATCTGAACGCGAGATTGTCGCAGGCGGAGCACGTTCACCCCGACGAGCTCGACGAAGAGTTCGACAGCTTTCCAACGACGAAACATATCGATACGGTGAGAATGAGGTACGACCGAATGAGGAGCGTGGCCGAGAAAATGCAGACGGTGGTCGGAGATTTGGCGACACAAGTGGAAAGGGCACAGGCGATTCTCGGGTGGAGGGATCCGAGAGCCACAGCGTTGTTCATCATCTACTCATTGATGTGGGCAGTTTTCATGTACGTTACACCGTTTCAGGTGGCGGCAATTCTGATCGGACTGTATATTCTTCGCCATCCGAGATTCAGGAGGAATTTCCCGTCTGTTCCTGTTAATTTCTTCAAGCGGCTGCCATCAAAGGCGGATATGATGTTACTATGAGAGACGGCCCAAGATCATCAATTAGTTCCAGAGATCAAGATATTGATATCACAAATAATGATGATTAATATCTAAACTCTCAAGATTAATAGTCATAATTTTTACCACAATCTAAACTCAGAAGATTAAGATATTGATATCACAAATACAGATGGTTAAATGGTATAGGATTCCTTACTTATAAACCCAGGATCTTCCACTAAATTAACAAATATGACTCACTCCCAATAATCCTCAACAAAATCAGTGTTATTTGTCTGTTTGTCTCTCATCTCTCGACATCTCTTTCACAAGTATGCGAGTAGTATTTTCACAAAGCGGTATCGGAGCCTTCTATCGTTAGTATGTGTGAAATTTACTTCATAGATTAGTGAGTCTTATTTTACCATTGAAATCGCCTTCAACTCTCTCTTTAATACTTCACATTCTTGATAATTTTCGAAACTTGCTAAACCATAGAATCAACAGAGTCACCAACGATCCACCAACTTTTCCTCGTCACTCCAAGTTTAAATATGGAAGCATTACTTGAAACTAACAAAATTGAGAGACCTTAATGATTAATTATTCGGATACTAATTATTCCGACATAAATCTTTCAACAATCATTTTTGCCATCGGTGGCTAATTACCCAAAAGACATGACATATAATATTTGCCACTCAATCGTTCGCAATTGCTCTTTAAAGTAGCTATTGTGGCTAGTTATCCAAAAAGTAGTACGTGTAATTTTTGCCATAAAATTTTGTGTGATCACTCTTTAAAGTAAGCATGATAGCTAGTTATAAAAAACATACTAACATGTCATCTTTGCCTCAAAATCTTTTTTAACCTAATAACAAGTGTGTCAAGTCATGCATAAAGTAGGTCGTAAAATATTTATAAATCATGTTCTTCAATCATATATCATAATCACACGCCACAAAGTTATACAAATGTATGCACGTCCAATCATTCAAAAAGCAAGAACGTTTATAATGTAATAGAAAGATTCCTTATCTTGTAGGTTTTCGTTAGCAATCGCAACAATTATTGGTCCAATTCGACCTAGACCAAACCTTACATTCAAATGATAACCAGTTTGATCCTTATTCACCCAAAAAAAAAAAAAAAAACGGTTGACCAACAAGTATTGCACCAAAAAATCATAAGTTAACTTGAATGAATACTTGAAGATAAAGAACAATGAAGCTTTCCACCAATAATCGGCATCATGTGGCGTAAGGAAGGAAGATGATCTTTCCTCGTCTTAGGATCAACCAACTTTGCAAGTGATTGGAGCTTGAGCGGTCAAAGGTTGAGGAGCATGCAATAAGAGACAATGATGGACGGTGACAGGAATCATCTCTAATAAAATTTAGAAGATTTAGATTGTCTTGCTAATTTAATATGTATGTCCCTAATTTTTTGTTAGCTTAAATTAGTGGCGTCACCCATGCGTGCATTAATTTCATATGCATAAGTTCAACGTCTTCTCTCCTATAATGGTTCTCCAATCCAAAGTATTCGAAAGTAATCTAAGTCATTGTCCAAATAAAATAAAATAGTATTTTCTTTATAAATTTCCACTTTTATTTTTATTTATTTATCACAACTTTTCCTTTTCCATTCCCATTCTCGTCCCCGCGAACTTTTTTGTTTATTTTTGTGGGGATCGTATTTCCACGATAACTTTTTTCTCATTTTTAAATTATTTTTTGACAAAACTTTTTTAATACATTATTTTCATTTTACAATATAATTTTATAAAAAGAGATGTAAACAAAATACAATATATTATTCATTATCAACATAATATCGAAAAATTTAGATTTTAAATTATAATAGTCTTCCAAGTAAAAAGGTCTGTCCATTGTTGAGGATTGTAAGTCTCACATTGACTAATATTTATGGAATGATCATAAATTTATAATCAAGGAATAGTATCTCCATTGGTAGGAAGTCTTTTGGAAAGCCCAAAGCAAAACCATATGAGTTTATACTCAAAGTGGACAATATCATACTATTGTGGAGAGTCATGATGCCTAACAACGTCTATGACCAATTCGGTCTGATTCAATTAAGCAATAACGATAAACATTAAACTTACTGGATAAAACGTAGGCTCATGAACTTCCAATACTTCATGTAACATTTTTAGTATATTTAGAAACTTGGGGAAAATTTATTATTTTTTAACAAATTAGACTTTTTGTGTAGGCATTTTGAAAAAATTAATGAATTAAAATATGTTAAGTAAAGTAATTTGATTTTATAAGGTCAAAAATGATTTTTTTAAAAAAAAACTTAAGAAATAAAAAGTACATCAGAAAACTTTAGATTAGTTTCAAAACTTTTTTTTTATTTTTTATTTTTTATGAACACTTGATAGTTGAAACGTTAAAAGAAAAAAGAAAGAAAAAAAAAAAAAGACTTTGTGATCAACTTAAAATCATCAAAATATAATAATATTATAATAATAATAATAAATTTATAATAGAGCCAAACTAATCTCTTGCTTAAACAAAATATTTTCTCCGAAAATAGTCTAAACCGATCCTTAATGATAAGAAATCACTACAAGACCATTGTTGATTGAATATTTTAAGTAAGAAGAGATTCAAATTACTCCACAAATAAAATTAATTATATGATTTTAAACATGCTATCTAAGAACACTTACCCAAGTGATAAATTTAGATTACTTTGTTTATCAAATATCTCAAAGCAAAAACATTCCCTGAGATTCGACTAGCTCCACAAGCAAAATCAATCATGTCAAGTTTAAAAGATTTTAAACATACAATCTAAACCATCCTGTTTAAAGAAATACAACATTCATCATAGCTATATATTTTTTTACTGTATTTGACAACATTCATCATAGCCATTTGTCTTTATATAGTTTCAAAATAAAACCATTAGCCTTCTGAAACAATTCAAGAATGATAATATTCATATCTTAGACGATAGCATAATTAGTCACAGTATAAATATAACCTTAATATAAATAAAATCTTTAAATATATTAATAAAATACAATAACTTTAGATTACCATCCATCCAAAATTTGTAAATATGAATCTATCTTCAATAGTTAATTAGTTTATTCCATGTATTCTAGTAGATTCAAAGTCATGGAAGTAGATGAAGCTCTAGAGGGAGAACTGTGAAATTGAAACAAAATCGCTCTCAAATTACAATTGAAATTGTGACCGTCAAAACACGATCTCCATGGATGAAAGTTGGAAAAGGAACATGAAGATATGATGGATTATAGCTCTCATTACAAACTTTCTTAAATATGGTCCGATACAAATTAGCATTGTATAATATCATTAATATCATCAACTGGAGGAGAGTGTCGTGGATCCAAGATGAAACAGCAGACCAACAATTGTGAAGATACTGATTAGTATTCCTCCAACAAGAATCCTATCGACGACGCCCCACTCACTCATGCTTCCTCCAGCCGATGCCTGCTTTCTCCCGGACACTACCGGACTTTCCCCTTCCTCCCTTTTGGGCACATGGCTCTTCCGTTTCCGCAATAGCCACTCAACCAGATTCTTCCGTTTGGGCTCTTCAGGCAATGGGATATTTCTTGAAGAATCATCTTTCTCATCCAGAGCAACTGGTCCTTTGCAGCAGCTTTCTGGTCCACAAGCACAAGCTTCGGGTTCCACGGAACATGCACATGTTTCATGAGAATTAGAGCAGGGAGGAACCTTGGCTTGAATCGGCATGTCTTCGAGAGCAGTTGTTTTATGATGTTTGGTGACGATGGTTTCAATCACTTCCCCGAAAACAGACCATCTTCCAACGGATGTTATCTTCACCAAAGCAGAAGTTCCCAGCATAGCTTCATGGCCAATTACTAGCACCTGTATGTATCCCTTGGTATGGCCAACCTGGGGGGGAGCAATATAAATTGAGCTTATCGAAAAAGAAACAACAGTTCTTTGAAACATTAGATGATGAAAAGTATGTAAAAACAGCAGTTTTATGAGATGGCTCAGAAAAGGAAGTTCACTTCCATGATGCACTAAAATGCATATGGGAATTGAAATTGATTAAGAACCAGTTAACAATTAACTACAGGATGGTATTCCAATTCAAAGGAATGAAACAAAGCTAACAATAAAAGAAACTCCAATGGAAGGATTCCCACGGGAAGGCAAACCAAGCAACCTCCCAAACTTCCTTCAAAATCTCTCCGCTCGCTAAAAATTATGTTGTCCCTTTCTAGCCTACCACAAGTTTCCTCCCAAGATCTCTCCAAACCTAGATCCATAGATAATAACATTTTCTTCAATCAATTGTCCGAGAGAATTTGACCCTTTTCTAAAAGTTTTGTTAAATTTCAAAGGTGAAATTTTGCAGAACTTATAAATTAACGACTGATTTCTGATCTCTCCCATGGAATATTGATGTTTTTCACTACTTTCTTACGTGTGAAAATCTCAGGCTTGAGTGAATGTGAATCAACTAAGTCAGTACAATTGCAACTGATTTTCCACACATTTCCTACCATTTGGACCAAATGAACTTTCATTCCCTACCATTCGAGACTCTTGCTCGTCATCTTTCTTGGCCAAGCTACTTCTCCGTTCTCTATACAAAAAATGATGCAACCTCGCAACCAAAAAATAGAACCCAAGGATAACCATTTTTTTTAATTACTATTCCGAAGTCTTTACAAGAGACTATCCTCTGGATGCCAACTGACAAGCTAAGTAAAAAACCCAGTTACAAACAAAGCAATCAATTAACAAACTAATTTAACTACCAAAACCATTAACCTAAACCCAACTAACAACTAACAATTAACAAACTCAGCCAAAAATTACAAGATTATCCCTAGTCGGCTAATCTACTACATCAAAAACTTAACATAACCAAAGACTTCAGCCCATATACTTCAGCTCGCGATCTAAGCTTACCTTCTAAAGGTTTACTATTTATTCCTATCCAAGTTCACCACAAGATAGTGTTAACTTGGATGGTCTTAACTGCAAGAGTGTAGAGTGTACAGAGAACATGCATTCCACAGACCAGGCCTTGGGTTAGGAATGGTCTAAGCTAATGTAAATAGTATACTTTATATACGTATATGAAAGAATGAATAAAATTTAA